AAAATAAAAAGTACCTCCAGTACTGACTCCTTATACAACCACTTAAGTTTTTTCCTATACTCCAAAGACGAATCAATACTTTACATACACTTTACGCAATGCTACTTGAGAATGAGATCTTGCTTATAAGAAGTAACGTGAGCGCGATATTATCTTCATTATCAGAAGTGATAGCGACAATAGGAACTCTCTGAGTTATCAAGGTATTAGGGAAGTTGAAGAAGTAAGGTCGTTACCTGTTGAAGAACTGAGTATAGAAGAGTAGGATCGTTACATCCAGGTACAAAGTGGTACCTAGGCATTAGAAGATTTTTAAAACAATAAGATAGCAGAGCTTGCAAGAGCTACATGTAGAAAGCATAGTTGACACTCTATTTAACAAGGTGGTATTCTGTATGCCTACAAAGCCAGGACCATAGTAAAACTAAAAGAGCAGGAAAACACAGAAAAGGCTCTCGAGAAGGGACAGCATGTGCTGGATGATGTGAAGAAGAAAGCAGAAAACAAGGTGATAAAACAACGGAAAGAAATTTCTAAACAAATGTGAAAGACCATAAAGGAGAAAAATAGGCAGAAAAAAAACATCAGACACTTTTGTCTTGTGAAATTGGTGGCTTTATTGTTCATAATTCTCTTCATCTAAATTAAAACTATCGTTGAACTGTTACTTTTGTTGAACTGTTCAGCACTCCTTGGGAGAGCCGCCTTCTTCGAAGGTCGCTTAGCGTCTTCGAAGGGGTGGGAACCTTGGCACGGTTATTGGTTGGCGCAGGTATTTTTCTCGCAGTTGGTGCGGGTGAGCGCGCTCTAAGATATCTTCGATGACTACGAGGCCAGGGGTTCTACGAGGCTTAAAAGGTGAAAATCTTGAATAATCGCCGAGGATTGTCACAAGTTTCTTGGCCTAGAGAATTACAAAATAGAAGGAAAGGTCCTTGAGTTCATTATGAGGTGGGCGAGGGGGGATTCGCGATCGGGGTAAGACTGGTGGCGGTCCGGGCCGGGCCGGGGGAAACCGGGGAGACGCGCTGCATTGCTGACCTACCCGGCGGTAACACCACATCGGTATGATATCACCCAAAGAGATCTGATTTGAGATCTGTGAACCCTTTTCGCAAAGGCGAATTCTGCGTACAGTACACAGTGTTTTCCCACGAACCGACCTGGCACGGGGCCTGAGTTGCCACGGGGAGGCGCTAATTCATCCCGCGATCGTCAGATCTGAATACAAGAGAATATTGGCGCTCTTAATCGTGCATAGTGGACGAAATGTAATGTGAACTAGCGGAAAATCAAATGATATAGTTGAAGGAGAGAAGGAATTGGTAATATTCAAGATTTCTCGCAACTTCATTCACACTTCAACCAAAAAATGACTTGATTCGAAAACCCAGAGGTAAATAGACCAAAACACAAACCAAAGCCCGCCCCCTATTCGCCATAGGCCTCTCTCTTTTTGCCCACGACATTTCCTCGCAAGGTAGAGGAGCATCGCCATGGGGAACGTTCTCCGGGATTCCCCGTGATAAACAAATACGAAACTAGCACTCCCAGTTACTGTGAAAGCCGTTTTTTCGCACAGTGGCTAGCCTATCTGGCCGATAACAAGAGTATTCTGCTAACAGTCACGCTATCGGAACTGGGTCAACCAGGTATATTTTCCTGCCACATGCACAAAGGGCGCTTTCGCTCTGGGGATGTTTCTAAGCCTATAGTCTATGTGAGTGATCATCTATGATGGTTAGCCCGGTAGTCTATCTAAGCCTCCGATTGCTGCTGTCTTCCAAGTTATCCTATCTCTAGTTCGTCCTCTTCGTTAGCCTTTTCCTTCCACCGTACTGATCCCCCACAGCAATTCGCGACCTCCCATCCCGGAAGAGTGTTAGCTGGCGGATGGTGTCCAATGATAATTCGGGGGTAGATCTTTAGATAGGGAACAACCGCGACGGGGTAGATCGGGTATCGATAGATACAGTACGCCCACAGCTTCCCAGACACTTCCAGCACTGAAATACCTGACGGAGTAGACGAAGGGGCGGCACGAACAACGAGAGGAGTGATTTCAATCAGAAGAGTTATAACATCCGCCAATTGTAGCCAGAGTTTCAGCAAGGAAGAAATACGGTAGTGTGCGGTGCGTCCACGGAGCATTTGGCAAAGGAATCCTTGTATCAATGGAGCAAATGAAATTAATGAGCGCGAGTGATGGGCCATGACCACCGCCTTCTATGATGCCTATCCTAAACACTGGTCGCTCAACGAAGTTCGTCAGTAGTAGCATCGCATGAAACCCGTTGTTTGTTGGGCACGAAGGGGGTATACTTACAACCTGGATCCAGTATACCCGCTGATAAACTGACATGGATTTGATCCTTTGGAGAAGGGAGTGCTTGAGCTAATGGGAAATCACAACAGATAGGAATTGGGAGTACTATCGATAATGGATACAGCTAGTAGAAGAGTTGGTCTTAAAGAACTGCGCCTAAGATTATCTACTAGTGATCTCGTTGCACACACAACGCGGACACCTGTAATAGAGGATATGATCTTTCAACAAGTGTCACGGAAGTTTCATCCCAAACTGACACTAATCTAATAGGACCTGTCTCAATAACGGTTCGGCTGGTTCCGGTGGACTAGATCCGATGTTTTAATCGTAACTGACAGCAAAGATTAAAACTTCATTGGGGGTATCATACTTGGGCATTCTAAAAATATCCGGGAATCTTCGTACGCCTTCAGCGTCAGAAACGCCGAGATTTCTGGATACTTTCGGAATGGCCAAGCAAGTGGGGTGCGGGATATCTTACAGCTTGAGGACTAAACGTGATATCTTTAAAATGTCTCGAAGTCTAGTGAACTACTAGTATGATACAAACTTTCCCCCCAAGGAAAACCTGTCTAGGGGCCAACGAGCTACTACATCACCAGCTCCCCCGCTTTTGTCCCCCGATCGGGGCCAACCGGTCGAACAGTTCTCCAAGCGGAGTAGCCGTCGCACCCTTAATCTCTCATTCTTCTCGTTACAACCTCCAACCTGTCCACAACCTCCCTATACATCGACCACCCAAAAATCAACTTACCCTTCCAATCCACCAAACTTCTTCAACTCAATAATGCCCGTAATCGAAATAGAGAAGTCCTACTTTCCCAATAGATCCCTCTCAGAATACTGCTCCGTAGCACACACGGCCAAGGGGTAGAAGTGATGTAGATGTATCCCCTTGCCCTAGTTCTGGTCTTAAATTCTACAGTGCCAAATGGGGACCGCTTCCTGCTCTTTTGGGGGTACGCCGAGGCGGTTCTTTGCTTTTTCAGAACTAGCTATAGCTCTCAGCTTATCGGCACCCAGTGCAGTGCAGACATCGGTTTTATGGTGTCTTTAGAGAAGTTGAGAAAGTGCTTTCAAGTGTGTTTCCTGTCCTTTTCTTTGTATCCATGTTTGTGTTGCTAGAGTATTTTCAGGTTGGGTGTTGCTGCTAGGGAGACGTCTGTGGAAGATACCTCCTGGCTTGACGTCATCCATGATTATGCTTGCTGGGGCATTTGGCACTCGAAAACCCGAGTGGGGTAGTGAAGAAAGAGTGGCTTTACTAGCTAAGCTGATACGTAGGAGGGTTACCGTTAGTTGCGCATTAGTAGAGACGCCCTTCAGGGTGGTGCTATTGCCCTTATGTCGGCGCCCAGCCAGATGAGTGGGGTCAAGGAACTTGCATTCATAGTCCGAGAAGTTCTCGGTTGTGCCAGGGGACTATTCGGGGGATAATTGGCCCACCGAGGACCATTCCTGCAATAAAGTACCTATTTTGATGAACATGTGTACTGTACATCAACAAGCAGCGATGCTAATAGCATTGAGGCTGCGAGCCCTGCAAGCTTTAGATGCAGGGTATTCTCCGGAAATGGTGGAGTGGGAGGTAGTACTCTAGAAATATCAGTAAATATTCCATTATAAATGCACCGGGAAATTTATACATCGAAATTCCGTCCCAGCCATCAGCAATATAACAAATGTTATGCATAATCGGCCTCTCCTTCTCCCATATCGCCACCTCAACAAGCCTGTTAGTCTTATCGTGGGTTGGAGTTGCGGCCTTTCAATTCGCAACTTCCTTCGCATTAGAAGCGCCATGGCAATGCCTATAGGATCGACCACAATTACACCAGATCTCGAAATAAAATTGTCTGCCTCCTGTTCAACGGCTTCTCCATGGCACTTTCGGGAGTACCCATTAAATTGTTGTGGCCGCGAGTGTGTCTACGGTGGCTTTCTCTAAACCGCGAATTATCATAGGTATCCATGAGAGCTAATGAGGCTGGTGGGAAGAGGTATGTTCTCGGCAGAGGCCATATGATCGGGGTGATTGCCGTATATAGAGTCGTTCACTCTTCTCTGGCGCAGCGTCAAAAAATGGAACGCGGCCTCAACCCGGCTACCCGAGTACTAGGACTAGAATGATCCGATTGGAAGAGTGAGAAGTAACACTTATTCTTGACTTAAAAACACGTAACTTAACAGGAAAGACAGAAGTAATTCCAAAACATGTGACTCCGAAAAGTGTCTCCCACCCCCCACGCCGGCCTCCGCCTCCCGACAACCCCCCTAATGCAACAGAAATAAAGGTATCGTACAGAGTACACCATGTCCTCCACAGCCCCAGATAACGAGAGAAACACATAACCATCCCCACAACTTTCCACCACGGCACCCTTGCCCCGAGCACCTCCCTCATCAACAGCAGCGCACACTCCTGGAATCATACAACCTCGAAGTTTTAGAAGAGCAGATGACAGCTCGGATTATAGAGAATCCAAGGAATCCCATTCTCTTGATAGGAGCAACCTCCTTATTCCAACCCGCCCTTCTTCCTCCGCTTCTTGCAGTTCATCTACAGCCTCTTCCTCAAACTCGCGCATAACATCATCAAAACTTCGCAAATAAACCTTTATAGGTTGAAGTAATAAAACGAGCGTCCCTTGTCTATCGACCACGTCGATGGGGAATACGCGATTCGTCAGAGCGCTGTACACTCCTAGCATCAGGTTGCTCGGAAATTGCAACTCCCTGGCGAGCGGCTTAAGTTTGCGCAAAGCCTTTTTCCCGTTAGTTGTGCGTGGGTTTTTGAGAGTCTCCCCGAAGGCATCCAGAAAATCGAATATATTGATGAAGACCCTGTGAAGAATCTAAAACAAGATGTATTAGTAGAACTTATAACCCTCTGATTGGGTCCCTCGTGGAACGTACCGTTTTTGCGTCTCGCTTTCCCACATTTTGCTGTCCGTTGCCGTATAGCTCGACAAATACTTGCCAGGGCGTTAATCCGGTAACTCTGCAGAAATTACCGAGTTGCAAATTGAATACCTTCTCTACAACCGCATAGAACCCATTGCGCAATTTCAAGAATTCAGGAGATATTTTCCACCCCCGACGCTCCTCTATGCTCGTAGGCCTCCCACGTTCAAGACTCAGACACCGCAACCACTCTCGTCTCTTGGCATCAGCCAGTTTCTTGAATTCAAGTTCGTGCAGGTCACCCGAGTATTCATACCCAGGGCACTCCCGAGCCCTCAGCCAATCCGCTAGAAGATCTTCCTCTAGGGTCCCCGGATTTTCAGAAGTTGTAGGCTCCGAGGTGCTGTACCCCGATTGCCCCCTCGCATCCAATGCCACCGCGTCATTAAATTCTCTCGTGACCTTCGAGAGTCTCGCGTTCCCCCACCCCCTCAGCCCGACAAGACGTTGAAATTCGGATTGCACAGGCTCATCTATGTCGTAGGTGAATAGTGAGTATTCGTATCTTCTGAAAAACTTTATGACTTCGATGCCAACTGAACTTCCGCTCCGATCTAGCTCTCGAGAGAGAGCAAGAAAAAATTCAGTTTCGTGATGACTAATCTTGGAGGAGCCCCACTGCCGTGCTTCGCAGAGACGATCGAATTCTTTGCGCGGGGGTATATCCGGGTCGTAGGTGTATCTCTCAAAGTCGAATTGTTCGAAAAATTGAGAAAGGGGATCCTGCTCTTGAGAAAGAGCAAGCAAGAATTCAGCCTTGTAACGTCTGATCTTGGAGGGGCCCCACTGCCGTGCCTCGCAGAGTCGCTCGAATTCTTCGTGCGCGGGTATATCCGGGTCGTAGGTGTATCTTTCAAAGTCGAATTGTTCGAAAAATTGAGAAAGGGGATCTTGCTCTTCAGGAAGCGCAAGCAAGAATTCAGCCCTGTAGCGTCTGATCTTCGAGGAGCCCCACTGCCGTGCTTCGCAGAGGCGATCAAATTCTTCGTGCGCAGGTGCATCCGGGTCGTAGGTGTATCTCTCAAAGTCGAACTGTTCGAAAAATTGTCGAAGGGGGTCAACTATTATCGGCATGGCTGGCAGAATGTGAGATCCTGATTTCGAATTATCTCATTTGGAACCCAAGACTTGGGGTAACACACTAACAAAGTATTTCCGCTGGTGCGATCCTGTTGGAAGGCTGGTGGGATTTTTCTCGTGCAGCAAGTGTAAAATACTATTCTTCTACCAATATTCGTCCATAGCAGTGCGTACGGTACTTGTCTGCCACCCATATATTAAGGAGGTAGTACTTTACCAGCCCCCCACGGGAGGCCTAAATATTTCACCTAACCCTGGATTTATTCCTGGAACGCCTTTTGGTGTTGTGCCAGTATCATAGTACCGCCACCGGCACAGGAACAACCGGTTCGATATTTAGTGATCCAGGGACTTGCATGGCTTGCCATCTCATTGTACCCCTAAAACAATCAAAGGACACATGGCTTGCCATCTTTTCCAGATCCAGAATTCAGAAGCGGGCAATGATATTCACCAACTTATCATTACTTGGGTGAGCGAGTCCATTTTGGAGTCGGGAGAGTGGCTGCATGAAAACGGGAGTGTGAATTTGTACCTGAGACAGGACTTGGCCTAGAATAGTAACTGTGACCTCAAGGCAAAGTGTCAGTGCAAACGCAGCACAGTATCATATTGGTATACCCGTATGAGGGTGGAGAAGAGTGGCGGCTTCTTACTTTGCCATTTATAAAGTGTTCAGACATCCGTCGCCAATATAGCTACTAATAACTGATGTCAGGGTGTCTGGATACCTTATCCCTTAGTCCGTCCAGCGGGACCAAGAAATGGGCTCTAAAAGTCCCAGTTTGAATTTATTTCTAGTTAAGGAATGATAATTTCCAGATCTTGTTATTTTCCTAACCAGGTTTCTCGGGCAGGAGAGCACCACCCGCCGGACTAAGGGGTAAAAGGCAAAGTGTGATGATACAGCAATATGCGACAGCCGCTGCCAAGACGGGAGGGGATTCGCGAGGCTGGAATAGACAGGATTGACGCACACACGGCCAAACACGTCCTCGAGTAAAGGGGCGGCGAGCGTGACACTAACAGGGCAGCTACAGAGTCTGTCCAATCATTTCATCCAGCTCCCCAAGACCCGCGAGAGACCACTTTGTCCCTGTTTGTAGGTGCTCAAAAGCACAGGTTGTGGCGTGGTCTCCCGCGGCTAAGATGCACAACTGCCAACACTTAGTTTCACCTTAGGCAAGCTTTCGCACAATACCTACTTACTCTCCTCGTATCGTTATGGGCCTGGTAACCGCGGCGGATATGTGCCGTGCACCACGAGTTCCTTCCCAACCCAGAGGTAACCGATCCGTACTAGAATTCCGCCACAATTCAGACTTGAGAGGGCTCCACTTAATCAGGTGCGGCACCATAAAGGGAAGAGGCGTATCATAATATGATGAAGGATCTCAGACCACAATCGCAACCTAAACCTCAACCCCACGCATCAGTACGATGCCTGCAGAGCTGGGTCAATGGAGGTGGCGGTACAAGTGAGATCACCGTGGGTGAAGCACAAATGAGCAGGAAGAATGGAGATCTAGACATTCAAGAGATATATAACCTCTCTCCAAAGCAATTAACGTCTCTGGAAAACAAATAAGCCAACGAACCACAGCGAATGCACTGAATGCACAGACAATCCGGCAATGACAGGAACTCTACAGAAACTCTGGGGAAGCAAGGGAGAAGTTTGCCATCATCACGCCCCAGACAAGCCATGCCAGGAACCAATCCCTAAGGGTCCTTTTGGAAACAACCGTTCTGTTCCCTTGCCCCATGCAAATTGACCGTTTCCTTCCGTTTGACGATCGCTTTTACTCGTACAACACAAACGGTCGCAAAACGGAACGGAACGGCTGCACCCGAACGGACCCCTATACTCGGTGCCCTACCGCATGCCGAACGGAAATCTTCATCAGGGGCATGACGAAATTGGGCGGGTGTTGAACAGGGGTACCAGTATTTTATGGGCGAAAAGTGAATTCGGAAAGGTAGGGTAAGGAAAATTTCCTGGCAAACTGACCCCTGTTCGTCACCCGCCCAGTTTCGTCTTGCCCCCCCCGGTGAAGACTATAACACCAAACAATAAACTTAACCAGACACCTTGATACTGGGTGTCTAATGCCCGTACCTATAAAGACAACAAACCAACGCCGCTACCCTACGGGATTTTTAGGCCATACCTTATCATGGGTTTCCCTGTATTCAAAAACCCTACGCACTTAGTCCCTGCCCGGCGCGCCCAACTATGATATCATAATTGTCATTGAGGAAAAACGCCACTGCCCTCTGCCTAACACCATAGGATGTGGAAGCAGCTATCATACCCATAACTGCATATCTCAGTTGCCCCAATCCCCCATGCATAATTCACACTTTACGGACGTGTGTGAAATATGGCTCACCAAATGTCATCATCGGCGATCACTCGCAAGGCGTTGAAGCCAACCTTTAGCGATGTTGGAATGCGACGGAAGCACGTTCGGCCTGGCTCGGAATATCTGGAAGCATCGGGGAGCATCCCTATGCGTATTGGTAAAGTACTCTATGGCGCATATAGGGATATATAACTATATAAGGAGTCAAGACTCTCTCCTCCGCCAATCTATTCCTCCCCGTATCTCGGCATACCCCTCCTTTGCTTTATATTCGTTCTCCAACACGCGATACTCATATGACGAAGCACAGCTCGCGATGTATCAGGAGCTCCTTCAACTGTGGTACATCGTGCTATTCCTGCTCCTTTGAGTGATGGTGATTCCGAACTGGGGCATCACGTTCACTCACAATCCTGCCCACCACTGCCGTGACAATCCTTACTGTAACCGCCTGGATAGGAACTCGTTCTGCAGCACTCTAGGACGGCACATGTACACTAACTGGTGCTTTGTATATAAAATGACATGTTCCCAGAAAGTGCCCATTCAATACGGGTATTTCTCTCCCATTCGCTGTCAAGCTGCTACGCGTCTGTACGGAGAGACAGACCTGTAAGTAAAAGTCACTCCTTTGAAACAGCAGTTTCCTGACGAACAGGTTCTCAAACCCCTCAATGGTAGTCAAGCCATTGCTTCGCGGGGCAGGATTTCACTCTCGCATTCTAAAGAAGGGGGTTTACTATATGACAGAATGGTTCCCTTCCGCGCACACACCCACGTCTACGAGAGGGCCATTTCACGGATATAATAGACATGCACAGACATCCCAGAGGACACAGATAACCACTCTACATGCCAAGAAATCCCTCGCCAACTCACCTGCAATGAAAAACATACTCCGTAGTCACAAACTGCACGAAACCGACAACGAAGCCGATGGAAACCGGTATACTGAGAAGGGATCCATCCAAGAATCCTGTGGGATAGGGAGATGGCCGCCGAAATAGCCGCTTAGGGCTCGCTTCGGAAAACCCGGCGCCATGAACCCCCGGCCACCCCCGGGGATGGGTTGGGGCTGGGCAGGCACCTTGGGTGAAAGCGCTCAACTCTGCGCTATGAGACGACAGGGTACCAGTAGATCGCGGGTGGTTTTTTTTTTTTGTTAAATCCTAGAATCTATTTGCTTATAGGTGCAAACCTCCACTATAAGAGCACAGCTCGGCTAAAGCATGGATCCTAGATACAAGGGCACCTCTGCAATAACCGCCCCACACCCCCGATTTAGTCCTTAGACATGCTGGTCAAAAGCCTCCTCCACAGGCCTAGGGGAAAACAAGCCAGCCCAAGTCCCTCTGGTATGGGACCAACCGCACGTCAGCCCCCATGAAAGCTCCTTCTGCACAAAACAAAAAAAGCATAAAACAGGACTGGTAGGAGCCAACAAGAAAACCCACACCGTATTCTCTTGAGAAAGGAAAAACAAAGGAAACCCAACAAAAGAAACCACCTTGATAAAACATATTCCCCATTTTTCAGCCAGTACAGCCTTGGCGAGCAGCTAGGAATATAGGGGAGAACCATGATCCGTTCGTTTCTTGTAGTGAAGGCAACCGACCTAGACGTGTTGGCCTCTAGAGGAGAGATCGCTTATGGCTAGTTGGACGGGGGCATGACCGGAGGCAGTGCAATACCAATCACGCATTGCCAAGTAACCCAGACATTGGTAGAGTAGCAAACCCAACCGAGTAAAAACCCAAGAAGGGCGGAGAAGCATTTGAAACCTCACACAGCTTAGCCGAGGTGGCCACCATGGAGGGAGGAAAAAGGCGGTGAACCACAGTCTGGTGAACAGGAGCAAAGCCCAGTACCAGAAAGGGTGTATTTTATTGAGCCTCACGATGAGTTTTAAGTGTCCAAGCCTATGAAGCTATCCAGTTCAGCGAGGAAGGGGGATCGTGAGGCATTTCGTAGAGTTTTACCCCGCTCCACCTTCCTAAACAGGAAGGCGAAATTTGGGGTCAGGAAAATAGCGGACGAGAAGCTTGAGTAGATCGCGGGTGGAAAGGGTTGGCACTTGTACTCGTATCGGATGTGACTTCAATTTCGTTCCGAGTATCGGTATGGTAAGATTCGAGACCGTGACAAACAGGGATCAGGAATAAATTTTTTTTTGTTACCCTACTTTGGTGGACTCACTTTTCTTTTTGCCTTCCAAATGCCGGTACAGTCCCCCCCCGTTCTTCATTGCCTTATATTCGTCATGGCCACGTTGGGGACTACAATATGCCGGTACTCGAGTTCTCGTACAAGTACTGTCGATTCTTCACAAGCCGGCACAAGCTCCGCCCCCCCCCCAGTCCCCTGGTGCCTTGCGACACCCCAAACTGCTCTGCTCACGGCGTAAAATGTCTCGGGGTTCGCTATCTCCCGTAAGCCTCTGATCACCGGGCCCAGAAACAAGAGCTGATGAGAAGATTATAGAGCTTTTTTTTTTTGGCATGGTATGACTCATTATTTGGTATGATACCGGTACTCGCGATTCCGTGAACTTGCCAAATCAAACCTATCGTGGGCTGATGTGGTGATTTCCGCTGGTATGATTGTAATATGATTGCCGTAACTCAGTGCCTGGCCCCCTAACGTGCGGCATGTTCCTTGAATCCCTGGGGGAGTTGGCACCCCTCAGCCAAATGACGCCCAACTCCCGGCAATCGGAGATCTGGCATCATGCTTTTTCTCCCGCATTCTCTCGATCGAGTCAGAGATATCCGTTTATTCCCGTTTTGCCCTTTTTTCTTCTTTCTTCCGTTCCGGCCTGCTACGATAGGAATGCCTCGTTGTCGACGGATGTAGGGGGTTTGGGCGGGGGGAAGAAAGAGGTTAACTTATCAGATAGTTAGATCGCACCCTTTGATAAGTTGCACAGTATTATACTCCTGTGCATAACGCATAATAAGAGACTCAAATAGCAAGTAAGCAGGGTCACCCAATATATCGTTGGTAATCATGTTCATAATATAAAAAATTAGTCACCAAATATTCTAGAGCATCTCGTAACACAACATGCAACCAATAATCATGCAATGCACCATTGCAAGGAAAAAAAGAAAGGAGAAAAATCAAAAAGAGAATTCCGACGGGACCGCTAGCCCTAACACGGATTTAAGCATAATATATCATACTCATATATTATTAATGCTGTTCCGAACCCTGTTCCTCTTCCTTGTCTCCAAGCTCATCTTGACTGGATTTCTACTCTCAAAGATCTCGGAGATTTGCTCGAGGGTATGCCCTGCCGTCTCGACGAACCACATCCAGATGACAAAGACCTCGAAGCAATTCCATCCGATGAAGACAATGTAGTACCTCCACCCGATAGCCTCCATGGCGACCGGCGCAGCGAAGATATTCACGCACATGGCAATGTTCACGAACAAAAAGTTGAGCCCAGAACCCTTAGCGCGAGTCCTTGTCTCGAGAACCTCGGTGCTGTAGAGCGTTTGCAGAGGAGTATACGCCCACGAGTATACCATACCAAATATATAGATGAACGCGATAACAGCGTACGAAGCACCCTTTGAAGTTGACGAGACAGCGGTCCCCGCGGTGATGATGGAGAAGCAGACTACGGTGAAGGCGGTGGCCACAATGAGCATCGGCCTACGACCAAGTTTGTCAAGAAGGGTTGCGCCCCAGATGGCTGCAAACATGCAGAATACCGGATAGATTCCGTTGAGGACGAGACGGGTGTCCGAAGAGTCGATACCCGTCTGCTGGAACATTGTCGGCATGTAGTATGATACGACATTGTTTCCGGACCATTGACCAAAGAAGGCAACGGTGGCTGTAATCCATTAGCGACTCCATGTAATTCGCTGGGATGCGGGGCGATGCTCACCGACGAGACCAAGTCTGTATCTGGCTGCTCGGGTGTTTACTAGATCGCGGTAGTCCCACCATATTTTATCTGAGCATTCGGTTCCAATTTGCTCACTCATCTCTCGGAACTCAGCCTGCACGACCGAGGAGTGGCGATCGCCTTCGCCGTGGTATTTAGCTAGAATCTCGATGGCCTCCTCGTCCCGGCCCTGAGCGATTAGCCAACGGGGGGATTCTGGTATGAAGAAGATAAGAATAGCAACTATGGCAGGAATGGCTCCCTGAACGACAGTCGGAGTCCTCCATGCCCACGAGTTATTCATGTGGCGATTGCTACCGACACAGCACCATCCCGCAACTATGAGGTGAAATTGGGTCAGTTAGGATTTGGGGACGAGCGCTCGGGTGGGAGCACATACTAATAGAACCCACGTACCAGCAGACATTGTAGAGGCCAGCCTGGGTGCCCCGGTATTTTGGGTGAGATAATTCAACAGCGTACGCTGGGGCAGAAGCACAAGCGATCGCCGCGCCGAATCCAAGAATGAACCTCCCCCCTTGGAATTGTCCTACTATGATAGCTAAGATGTTAGTTGTTTCTTGGCATTGAAAAACATTATGAAAAAAAAAATTGGATCCTCACAGCCATTGGCAGTGGACTGCACCGCCGTTCCAACAACCACAATTGCACAACCAACGAACATACCCCAGCGCCTTCCATATCCGTCTGCGAGCCACCCAATCGCTGGGAAGGCGGCGATTTGTCCCAACTAGCGTTCATTCCATTAGTTTGATGCGCGTGGAAGTTGAGGACTGGTTATGCAAGATACTTACGTTGTAGATGATGAAAACTATCCCAGTACTGGAGCCCTTACCGTTCAGACCAAACGACCTCTGATACTGTTCCATGTCATTCACAGCGCCCCTTTACATCAATGAGTTAATATAAATCCGTGATAGTTAGGGGTGAGACCTAGGGAAGGGAGGGGGTAGGGAAATCGTCAATGATACTTACATGAGAGAGCCATCGTATCCGTTCATGGTCGATACCAAGTAACTCACAAGGAGACAAAAGTAAAGCTTCAACGAATTCCTGCTCAACAGCGATGACTTGTTCTCTTGAACTATGGCGTCGATATTACTTGGTGCAATCGCGTTTTTCCCCGAGTCGTTAGAATCCCCCTCAAAGTTCTCGATGTCGGAGAAAATTGTCTCCCCGGACCCCATTGCGGATAGATGGTGACCTTTTGGGTTCCGAGTGGTATACTTCTGATCCACTGGCGAAGATTCGGCTTGATGAAGTAACTAAGAATTCGGGACGGGAGGTGATGGCTAGGTTTTATTACCCCCTTCCAAGAGACGGCCCACCCCGGTGAGTCGAGCGTCCCCTTGTGATATCAACCGTTTTTTTCAAGCCTTCCCATTTCATTATCATTGTTTCGTCGTGCTAAGCTTCAGGGGCAGGGCTGGATGAAAAAAAAATCAGTGGATGGTGGTACTATACCGGTACTCTACAGTGATATTGTAACGGCTTTCCCTTTTCCTCACCATGTAATGCGCGGCCGTCTCACACCGTTCTGGTTTAGTTACCTACTCAGGTAGCCCGCAGCAACCCCTGCCCCCACGATGAATTTCACCAACGGTGCGCCGAACTTTGCCATCCGTCCATAGTCCATAGCTTAGTCTTGCTGGTACTGTACTGTACTTTTATGATAGTGGTAGAATAAAGGGTTCACCCATCTCCATTTCGGGCCAGCTAGACATTCCAGTGTTTTCAGTTGGTCCCTAGCTCCTCCCCAGAGTCTACTCGAGTACTGGTATAGTATGTATTAACCTTACTGCAGCGCTGCCGGGACCAGAGCACCACAATTCTCCGAAATTGGATCCCTCCCAACGAGGCCCGAATTTGACGCACTCGGAACTACGGAATGAAGACCGGAAGTACCGGCACCTAACTACCGCCACAAGATGAGAGACTGTCGTTCGTCCCCTTGAACAACGAAAGTTTTTATGACGAAGGGTGAAAAAATCTTTACCTCTCCCGTCCCTGGAGTATCCCATCCTTCATTACCATCCTTCATTATTCTCGAGTCCCCATGAGGTTGGGCTCCTTTGAAATTGATAATAGTGAGTATGATACTGTAGTCTGAAGGGGCAATGTACCGTATGGTATAGTGCCCTGTGAGTACTGTGCAGCACAGCATAATCCCGGAAAAACAGGGGTAAATGTGCTCCCCCCAGGTTTTCCATACAAAATTCCCATTTTCAATTATAGTAGCTGCTAGAAATAACCGTGACAAATCCCTTCCGCCGATCCTCAAATTCTGATAAAGCAATATGAGGGCCACCCACAGGGAGTCTGTCATTCCAAGTTCCTCAATTTTTATTGACAGCTCTATATACCAATACATATAGACATGGAGTTGGCCAAATTCATTGTTATGCAAAACCCCAGACAACTTGGCCAACTTAGCGTGGATTTTGGCCTTTTCCTTCGGAGTTCTGAAGATTTTGCAGAACAAACCCCTGTACCCTGACATCTAAGAGTAACGGTGTGAACCTTTAGTTAAGAGCTCTCTCGCTCTTTGCTACTGGATAGGTGGGCGCTAGCATCGAAAACCAGTGTCCTGTATGGAATCCCAGGGCATGTTTCTTTTGTTGCTAAGCTCGGGGGGTATAATACCGGTACCACGGTGGAGGCTTTCCCAAAAACTGTCTATAGGGGGGTGGTACGTCGGGCTCGTGGACTTTGACTGGCACTATAACCTCCTAGTTGACCTGCGCTCGAGCAGCGTAGGATAAGCTGCTGATAGAGGACTGTGTACTGGTAGACTAATGCGACGATGAATGTGGAGTGGAAAAAAGAAATATAAACCTGAACCCGGTCAAGGGAAGAGGCGTCGTCTAGAGGTGCTGATGACTGGTTTCCGCATGCCTTCTGGGGGGAAAGCCGGTACTCGAGTAGATGAGCCCGCGTATGCCATATGTTAAACTTTCACGTGGCGAGCTCTCCGCCAAATAGAAAATTCTGCTCGCACGGTACTGGGGGGAAACCCTGACGAAACACTACCACAAGCCAGTAACCACAAGCCAGTAACCACAAGCCAGCAACCACATCATACTCGTAGAGTAGAGTAGAGCACCATTACGTTTTTATGCAGGCTAAACCAGATTCTGATGCTCGAGTGATACCCGATGAGATTTGTTTTTTGTGTCAGCAAATACTCGAGTAGTCGGGCGCACTTCCGAAAGGAGAAGTGGCTTGTATTACTGCACCTAGAAAACCCTTGTACCCTAGGACACGCCACAACGAGCCAGTGGGTGCGACGTCGGTGTTGGGGGCGGAACATCATGATTACTGGTTACCCAGACCAGTACAGTCGCACCCCGCTGTCCCGGACCCCGCTCTCCCGGATCCCCCATTGTCCCGGACGAAATTCTCTGAGATCTGAATTTTTTTGCACCAGAACGTACCCCGTTGTCCCGGATAATGCGCTATCCCGGACAGATTCTGCGGATTTTGGCCATCCGGGACAGTGAGGTGCGACTGTATGAGAGAGATCCTTGTCTGGTGCTGGGCTGAAAAGTAAGGATGATGTAAAGTACAGTCGTGTCTGAAAAGTCTACGTACTCCTCACGGCAATGGCACTACAACTACAAATAATGATATTGACCACAACAAAAAAAAAAAGATATGAGTACAATTTTAAAATAGATAATAGTAGAAATAGAAAAAAACAGTTTCCCAATGCTACCATTTTGTATGGCTTCCATCTGCATCTAATACAGCCTGAAGTCTCTCAGGCATCCTCTGAATCCATCCATCAAATGTCCCCTGGGGAATGAGGTCCCACTCTTCCTTTGCTGCCTGAAATAATTCAACAGTACTATGGAGCCCTCTCCCAACCTTGGAGAATCGCTTTCTGAGTGCTCTATTGAGATCTGGTGAGTTGGGAGGCCAAGCCAATCTTTGATATCCACAGTCCTCTTGCAATTTTTTGTTTTCTGCTCCATTATGCCATGATGCATTATCAGCAGCCATATAGATGGTTTGAGGAGCTCTGTCTATAGCTTCTATGAAGGGGATGAGGTAGGGTTGGTGAATCTCAGTTACATATTGGTAGGAATTGAGACCAAGTCTGTCTCTTTTGCTGGTCCTTTCCTCCTCAGTCCTCTTTCTCACAAGAATGAGCTCAGTTCTCCCTCCATGCATCATTGCATCATATACACCTATGTTGGTGCGCACTGACTTAAAGCTAGGCTTTAAGTTCTTTTCTTCCAACTCTTCACCTGGTCTAACTCTGATCTTTCTTCCTACTGGATTTAAATCATATTCAATTGTGGCTTCATCTACAAAAACTACCCATTTCCAAGCTCTTGTCCAGTTCCTCCTCATTCTAGCAAACTCCTTTCTCTTCTCCTTCTGTTCTTTTCTCCAAAAAGACTTTTTCCTAGGTATTCTGAGCTTAAATCTAGCTTTTTTAGATATCTTGCTAACAGTATCTTTGCCAAGTCCAATATTGGCTTTTTGAGTAATGTCTCTTAGAGCTAAATAAGGCTCAGCATTAATAATATCAAAAATTACTTGCCTTTTGGTATTAGTAATCTTGGTTGGTCTGCCAGATCTGGGGGCATCATGAGTGTTTTCATCTCTGGATTTCACATTTTTGACTACTA